TGTTCAATTGTGGATTTCGCATAACCAAGACCGTTATTCTCATTGATCGCATACTATTTACGTTCATTGTTCTGATTTAGTTTAATTGTCACCATTGCTTGTCAAAACCCCCTTGTTACTTAGATTACTACATTCCTAGAGTAATTCCACTTAGGTTTGCAGTTATTAGTCCCTTTTTCCCTGTGGATTCGAACTCGACTCCCCTAACTACGTTTATTTGCAGTTAGCTTAGTTGTGATATTTTTGGTTGCATACGACTGAGGCACACCACCCATTCATTTTCCTTTTCCTTTTCCTTTCTCATTTTTCAATTCCACAAAAAGTCAAAACACCTCCAAAAACTAGGGCTGTGCAAAACTATCCGAAAAACCGAAAAACCGAACCGTAACCGAACCGAAAAATTGGGTACCCGAACCGTTTAAAGAAAACGGGTCAGGTAACCGAACCGATAAGAATTTAACGGTTCGGGTAACTGGTACCCGTTAACACTGTTTCGGGTACCCGAATGTCCCGAAAATATTTTTTTTCGAAATCTCAAATGAAAAATGTCAGTTTTTTTTAGAAAAAAAGAAACAGAAAATAAAGAACAAAAAAGTGAAAACCCTAAACTTCGTTCTTTTCTCATTTCTCAGTCATTCACTTCACTCAGCCTCCATCCCCCTCTCTCTCCTCCTCTTCTCTAATGTCTCTGCCTCTGGTTCTCTAATCTCCATTCTCCATTCTCCATTCACTCCTTCATCTCCTCCATTGAAGCGGCTCTGAGCTTTCGCTCCTTCATCTCCTCCATTGAAGCGGCTCTGAGCTTTCACTCCTTCATCTCCTAATGTCCTCAGGTAATTAACTAATTATCCCTTTGCCAGATCTAATTATTTGCAATGAATTGATTAAATTCAATTAAACTTAAACTCTTGTTTTAATTTCACAGATCGCAGATTCAATTTAGGGCTCTGCGTACTTCGACTTCTCCATTGAAGCGACTTATGAGCTATACGCCTATACTCCTTCATCTCCTCCATTGAAGCGTACTTCGACTTCTCCATTGAAGCGGCTCTGAGCTTTCACTCCTTCATCTCCTACATTGAAGCGGCTCTGAGCTTTCACTCCTTCATCTCCTCCATTGAAGCGTACTTCGGCTCTCCATTGAAGCGGCTTTTAAGCTTTCACTGTTGAGGTAATTTACATTTTATAGTATCTGACTATCTGTGGTTTTTTCAGATTTGTAATTGTTTTTTTTTCCTGATTTTTTATTGTGGTACTATTAATTTTTTTTTGTTTTTTTGGGAGGAATGGTACTTATTATGGTTTTCAGAATTGAGGTTTTTTTTTATTATTTTTTGTCAAGTTGTGTCTGTTAGATTTAGATGAGTGAGTAAGGTAAGATTTCTGTTTTTGATGTGGAAATAAGGTTGTTGAGAAAAAACAAGGATTCAGAGTGATGTTGTTGTGTGATGTTGCTAAGCATCTATAGTTGATGTGTACTAATGTTGTTGAGCATCTATAGTATTGTGTGATGGCTTCCTGTGTGTTGAGCATCTATAGAGTTGTACATGATAATCATGTAGTCCAATATGATTTATTGTAACATGAGTTAATTACAAGCATTTTAAGAAAACGTTTTAAGATTTATTGTAGTCCAATATGATAATCATGTAGTCCAATATGATTTATCTAGTTGCTTCTACTCAGGTTAATCTGTCAATATATGGTTTAACAGAATTGAGTAATATTCGTCAGCTGGAATTTGGTTTAACAGTAACTTGTGTGGCTGTGTACATCATCTTTTGGACTCATTTTCAGTAATACTTGCCTAAGGTACTGCAAGGCTCACAGAGTGATTATATGGTGTAGTTGTACCAATAGTTTTTTTTTTTATTTCACTTGCTTGTCTGAGATTTTATGATTGTGTATTTGTGTGACGTGGAAAAGTTTTTGTCCTGTTTGTTTCTAATAGACATATGTCCTAGATGTTCACCCTTTCAACCCTCATATAGCTATGACTCATTCTTGTTATTTGTGTATACATGATTGAACTTATTTGTTTTTTTTTTTCATTTGTAGGAGTGTATGGAATCTGGAAGTAGTGGGGATATGGAAGACTCATCGGCTACAAGTCAAGCTCCTCCAATTCCAAGTCCTCCTCCCGAGCCTTGGGAGTATGACCCTTGTCCAATGACGGAAAATAATGACCCCTTTGACCAGTAAAATCAATCAAACCAACCTTCTGAACCTGCTGATGCTGCTGCCCCCTTAAGTGAAACTTCAAAAAAATCTAGAAAAAGGCGCTCTCCTCATTGGGAGCATTTTATAAAGAAGGATGGAGAAAACAAGGCTGAATGTATCTATTGTCATACATTCATTGGTTGTGCATCACTTCAAGGTACCTCCGGCATGAAGAACCACATAAAGCGGTGTAAGGAATACCCCCCAAACATTGATCAAAATCAGCAACTATTGTCCCTTAGTCAACAAACTCTTGATGGGAATCTCGTGGATAAAAAAAAAAAGGTAGACTTGAGCTGTGGAAATTCAATCAAGAAGATAGTAGGAGAGCTCTGGCAAAGATGGTGATCATGGATGAAATGTCTTTTAGAATGGTGGAGCATGAAGGTTTTCGCAACTTTATGAAGGTAACGCAACCCTTTTTCATTATTCCTTCTCGATGGACAGTGACTAGAGATTGTTTTAGGATTTATTTGGATGAGAAAAAAAGTTCGAAAAGTTTTTTTAGTAAGTGCACTTCACGTATAAGTCTCACCACTGATACTTGGACTTCTTGCCAAAATATGAATTACATGTGTTTCACCGCTCACTTTATTGACCAAAATTGGAAATTGCATAAAAAATAATTAACTTTTGTATAATTGCTGGTCATTCTGGTGAAACAATTGGTAAATTTGTCCAAAAGTGTCTACTTGAATGGGGTATTTCTAGAGTAATGACTGTCACTGTAGATAATGCAAGTTTAAATGATGTTGGCATTCAATATTTGAAAAGAAGGTTTGAAAGTTGGAAGACATTAGTTTTGGGTGGTCGGTTTTTACACATGAGATGTTGTGCTCACATATTAAGTTTAACCGTTAAAGAAGGATTGAAAGAAAGTGATGTGTCAATAAAAAGAATTCGTTGTGCTGTTAGGTATGTAAGATCATCGGGTGCTAGATTGCAAAAGTTCATGAGTTGTGTTAAACAAGAAAAGTTGGAGTCAAAACGTTTTCTTTGTTTAGATGTGGATACTAGGTGGAATTCCACTTTTTTAATGCTGAAAGGTGCTTTGGCATATCGTAGGGCTTTTGATTTGCTTGAATGTTCAGATGGTGGTAAATTTAGGTATGAGTTACTTAAGACAGGCGAGGTGCCTGAACCTAGTGATTGGGATCGTGTTGCCTCTTTTCTTCCTTTACTTAAAATATTCTATGATGCTACTCTACGAGTTTCCGGCTCGTTGTATATCACCTCTAATGTGTATTTACAAGAACTTGTTGGGATTAGTGTGTTAATCAAGAAAAAAATGTTGAGTAATGATGCGGGGGTGAGTTTAATGGCTAGTGGAATGAAGAAAAAGCATGACAAGTATTGGGAAAATGTTGATAATGTGAATCTCTTGTTGTATATTGCTGTCATTCTTTATCCTAGGCGGAAAATGGGATATACTAAATGGGCAATTAATCAACAATATGATTCTGAAAAAGCTAAGTACTTGTGTGATAAAGTGATGCAAACTCTGAATGACATGTATGAACTTTATATTTCTGAAAACCCTCCAAATGAGTCTATTCTCCCTAAAACTTCTGATTTTTCGGAGGAAGTAGAAGATATGGATTCTGATGTAGATGTTGCGGAATCAGAGTTTGAAAGGCAGGTGGGTTCATGTGTTGGAGTACAAGGGAAAAATGAGTTGGCCAAGTATTTAGAAGATGATAGAGAAGTTAATCCCGCCGGAAAAAGCTTTGATTGTTTGGGGTGGTGGAAAAAATATGGTGAAAGGTATCCAACAATAGCTCTCATGGCTAGAGATGTACTTGCCATTCCCGTATCAACAGTCGCTTCCGAATAAGCTTTTAGCACCGGTGGTCGAGTGCTTGATTCATTTCGCAGCTCACTCTCAACTAAGATGGTTGAAGCCTTGATTTGTGCACAAGATTGGTTACGTACATCTCAAGGTCCTCTTATACTTGAGGAGAGACTTGAAGATATGGAAAAAATTGAATCAGGTAACATTTAAATATTTTCTCTTTTTTTTAATCTCATTATCTTGTTAATTATTCATTAACTTTTTTTTAATTTTTTTTTGAAGAAATGTTACCTCTTGGTGAGGAACACTCTCTCTTTGTTGATGATGATTAATTGATTAGAGGCAGCAACTTATAATCATGAAGGTTGGTGGTGATTGTATTGAAGGCCGGAAGTCATTGAAGGCTTGGAGTATTTTATGAAATATGATTACTATGGACTGTTTTTGTTTTAAAACTATAAACTATGGACTTTTTTTTTGTTATGTATTGGTTTATTATTGTTAACTATGGACTTTTTTTTTTAAAGAAACAGTATGTTTGTATCAAGTATTTGTTCATTTGTAATCGGGTTGAGTGATGTGTTATATGTGTATTCAGGTTTAAATATCAGCCTATTAGGCTGTTATTTGTTACAAAAAAAATCATAGTACTAATAACAATAATTAATACTAGAAAAACAGGTGGAAGTTTGGACAAAAATATTATTAAGCAGGTGGGTACAAGGAGGAGTTCAGGCAGCCAAGTAGGAGAGGTGAGGAGGCAGCAGCCTCAAGGACAGGGACTGGTAGGTTGCCAAAGCGGAAGACAGCGATAGTTGTAATTATTTTTGTTATTTGTGTATTTAAGTTCAATTGTTATAGTTCAAAAAATAGGAAGTAAAAAAAAAACTAGTAAAAACTAAAAAGCATCTAAAAACGAATTGCAAAGCAGGTTTTAAATAAATAAAAAGACCCAAAAAAAAAAAATCAGCTTATTGGTTCGGTTCGGATATTTGGTTCGGGTACCCGTATTTTCGGGTATTCGAATTTACGGGTACCCGAACCTTATCGAAATGGTTTCGGGAATCGGTTTTAGCCTTAACGGTTATCGGGTACCCGAACCAATAACGTTATCGGAACGGGTACCCGTCCCATGCTCTCCCCTACCAAAAACACATCACCTGCTTGCGCTGTCTCTGTTAACACCTCCCCCTCACACTCTCTCTCCAGCTCTTTCTTTCTCCCGGCAACAAAAAAAAAAAAAAAAAAAATCCAATCCAACATTCATCAATTTAGCTAAAATGAGTTCACCATCAAAACCAAATCTCGACCGACCAATTACCATCGAAATCCAACCATCATCACCGCGTTACCCACTTCCACCGTCTTCCTCCACCACCACTTCCGCCGCCGCCGGCGACGAACCCCACCGGAAAATCGCAATCCCCGTCGATCTCAGCAACGAGAGCGCCTTCGCCGTTCAATGGGCCGTCCAAAACTACCTCCGTCCCTCCGACTCCGTCACACTCCTCCACGTTCAACCCACTTCCATCCTCTACGGCGCTGACTGGGGCTCTACCCACTTCTCCGCTGCTGCCGCTGACGCCGTTGATGGGTCTAATGACGATGAGGTCAAGAAGAAGAAAATCGAGGATGATTTCGATAGTTTTACGGCGGGAAAGATTGCTGAGTTAGCGAAACCGCTTGTGGATGCTAAGATTCCGTTTAGGGTTCATGTTGTGAAGGATCATGATATGAAAGAGAGGTTGTGTTTGGAGATTGAGAGGTTAGGGTTAAGTGTTGTGATTATGGGGAGTAGAGGGTTTGGGGCTTCTAGGAGGAGTGTTAAAGGGAGGCTTGGGAGTGTCAGTGATTATTGTGTTCATCATTGTGTTTGCCCTGTTGTCGTTGTTCGGTATCCCGAGGAGAAAGAGAGTGCCGGTTCCGGTGCTGAAGGCGAAGTTGGATCGTTGCATCCTGTGCCGGAAGAGGATGGGTTGCATGAGGATGTTGCTGAGTTGCACTTGCACAAAGGTCATTTCTTCCTTTAATTCTTCTTATTATTTCTCCCACTTGAATTTGGTTTTGGAATTGGGTTTTTTTTTTTTTTTTTTTTTTTTTTTTTTTTTTTTTTGAAGGGGGAGATTTAAATTCATTATTAATAAGCCATTCGGCACTTACATAAGAAATCGTAATCGAACAATACAAAGACAAAAGAATCAATTACAAGTTCGAAATAAAGGAAACTACAATTGCACATACTCTTGGCTTATACTCCTCGACCTGAAATCAAAATTGGTTTTGGAATTGGTTTATTATCAATTAGCTTGACTTTTTTTTTTTTTTTTTTTTTTTATTTTTTTTATTTTTTACTGTTATCATTAATTTGTATAAAAATGATCATTTGGAATTTGGTAAATGATATGTTGATCTTGGTTGTTAGATTAAAAATAATTATAGCGTGCTAATTATTAGATTGCTTTAAAGAAATCAATCAAAATCAAAATAGCTCAAAGAATGAAGAGAACTAAATTGAGCAGTTGACAAGGTTACCAGTAGGTGAAACCGGTGATTGATCAATGATGCTGGTTTTAGTCAAATGAAAAGGTACTAATTGAGGAAATTGAAGTAGTTCATATTTAATTCTATGGACAGAAAACCAATGAGATGTTGTAATAGTATAATGTATGGTTGAATGGCTTGACTTTTGAGTACTTATTAAATCTAATTATTAAATCTTCTATGCATAGCTAGTGGGTCATTAGATGTTTGTTAATTGCTTCAAATTTCAGTTTTGTGTATGAATCTTGTATTGGAAAACTTAATTTAATTTAGTTCTATTTCAAAATGTTAGTATTGGAATTATCTTGTAAAGCACGTAATTTAAACCAAGTCAATGGCCTTTTGGCTGGATAGGATTTGATTCATCTATTGTCTTCGTCAAGTACTTTGCTGATATTACGGCCTTTAGACACAAATTAAATTAATAATATTGATGATTTGATGGGGGAGGTGTTAGGAGGTCATTGCGCCACAGTTTTGCTGCCAAAATTAGGTTATTTTTCTGTGTTTATCTGTCAGCTGCACATATTCATTTTATATTGGCCTTGCTCTGTTTTAATCTCGCTGTTGAGTATGGAACAAAATAACATGAATTTCTTCACCTAACAAAGATATTAGATAAATCAACAGGTGGTGGTCATATGAGTTTCACATGTACGGCAGTGCTTTGGTATCTTTAAAATTATGTCAGCTTTGCTACTCTTGCTTGAATGATCTTGCCCATGGCATCTTTGACGTTAATACTTTAATTTAATACTTGGATGTATAGTGAAGATAGCTTCATAGAATATTTATATAGCTTAGCATGTTGATTTGGTTGAATCAAATGTAAGCCTTTTAATATATTACCGATTAGCACAAACTTTTAATTTTAATTCTTCCGCTATAATACTGTAGATTGATTATTATATAGTGATGCAGGAAATGAAGACATTAGCTTGCAATGTGTACACTTGAGTATGTACATTATACTCCTTTCATCCCATTTTGTTAGTCCCAATTTTCCTTTTTGGGTTGTTTCTTTGAGTTTGTCCCATACTATAAATGACTATGACGCACCACCACTTTGCTCATACATCCCCTTCATTTGGTCTCATCAATTTTTTCTCTCATCAACTCCACCTGACCAAAATTCAAAATAGTAACAAGACTCCAATGGGTCAAACAAAAGCAGATGTAGGGATTATTGGATATTGAATGCCTACATGCATTGTATATTTATATGACTAAAATTTAAAAGGGAAAAGATATTTTGTCATAAACTCCTAAGCGGACGATATATGTAAGTCGTTTAATTGATGAGAAACTCCCAGCAGTATTTTACTTGTGTTTATAAAAGGTTGTAAGGACATGCCATTCTGTATGCTGCTTGTGTTCTAGAGAAGTGTGCAGGGTTTTAAAGTAGCATCTTCATGGTGATATGGTGTGATTTTGTGTTAACCTTATTGAGTGAAAAATTTCTAGCAACTACATTGTACAAGTTAACAATAATAGTATAAAGATATGATAGTGCAGAAGGATGGATGCAAATTGGGTTTCTGAATATATGACACTAAATGACACATCAATCATTAAGCACCTCTTGATTCACCTACTTCAGACATTCCCGTTTCTCTACCTCTTTTCCTACGGTCCACCTTCAGTGGCTCCCTCTACCTGACAAGGTAAGAGCTGCTTCAAGTGTCTGAAGAGCATCTTAAGCTTGGTAAGAGCATTCTAGTATGGCTTTTACATGGCAATCAATTCCCCACCAAGTAAAACTGTTAGACGAGGAAGGAGAACCAATTTGCTGCTAGAACACGGTGGCTAGAGTAAGAAGCTGTTACCATAGTTTCATTGTGTTAGTATCTTTTCCCACTTCTTACCTCTTTCCTTACAGTCCACTGTCCACCTCCCTTGGCTCACTACCCAACAAGTTGAGTGCTGATTTAAGGGCCTGAAAAGTATTTAAAACTTGATATGAGCATTCTAGTATGTCGTATATTGTGAGGCGAAGGAGGGGAACTGATTTGCAAGAACGCTGTGACTAGAGTTAGGAAGCTGTTGCCAAGTTTTCACTGTGTTTGTTATTATTTATAATGACTTCCATGCCCTGATGCGTATGTGTAAAAGACATGCTAACATCTTGTTAGGAGATTTGAAAGCTCTGTTTTTCCCTCTGTCCTTCCTCGCAATCCACCTTTTGGTCAAGGCTCCATATTTTTTTTTCTCTTATTATTCAAGAAATGATCGAAGAACGACTTAGTCAGATATCAGTAAGGTTGATTACATGAAAATTGAAAAACTAGATGTTTTTATGCTGCATTGCCTGCATCAGTAGTTATCCCAGTTTACAATCACTCAAAATTCAGATTTCTGATCATCAAAATCATGTGAATTCTCAAGATCTCTTTTGTTAAAAGTTACTGTCATGTGCATTGTATGGATAAATCAATGTCTGTATAGCCGCCCCCCCCCCCTTCCCAAACCTAAAAAAAAAATCCTTTCGGGGCATTTGGCATGTGGGAATGGGAGTTTGGGGATTAAAGGGTGGGATGGGGATTGGGAATAGTTGATGGGAATTCATAAAAATAAGTCCAAGCCTTTGTTTGGTTGTTGAGTGGGAATATGTAGGTATTAAATAACAATATTACAAAAGTGTCTTTGTCAAAACCTTTCCTTCTTTCTTTTCATTAATGGCAAAATAGTCATTTTACCACCCTTTCCAATTCCCATATCATAATACCAGGCCCCCCTTGGGATTATTTTGATGGGAATAGAGGGCATATATTCCCAATCACCTTCCCCATTTTAATCCCCTTCTCACCTAACAAACAAGGGATTTTATTACAAGTGGGATTAAAAGTCCCATTCCCAACCCCAATTCCCACATACCAAATGCCCCCTCTATGTTGTCATTTTCCCAAGTTTCACTCACCCTTTTTTATTTGACCCAATATGTAAGGACATCTCATGTTTCTAATGACCCAAGAGTTTATTATGTTCAAATTTGTTGATCAGGTACATGTTAAGATAATACGTACTTCTGTTTTATTACATTTGCAACACACCTTCTTGGCATGCTATTTGATGAATTGATTAGAAAAGTTAAATACACGAATTAAGCTAAATAGTTTAAATCGTAACAACTTAATACTTCTTAGAGGTGGTAAAATTATTTCAATTAATTTCTGTATACCTAGTATAAAAGTTTCCTTAAAGTGCATGACAAAGTGTTGTGTTGCGGGCAAAGTAAAACAAAGTATATAGTATATTGTGACCCTACTTTACTAGGGTACCTCTAAGTTGGTCTCGGCTCTGGATCACTAGCAGGGTAAAATGCAAGATAAATGGGTGCAATCTATTTCTTTCAAAGAATCATTTGGCAATTACGTAGTAATAGACTAACCAAAAGATTATATATAGAGTGAACCCTTGCATTCTTTATTCTCTGTTGTAGCATTTGTTTCACATGCAGGTGCATTGTACAAGACTAGTCTATAATTTTTAAACCGAAGTTCAAGCTGCTATGAAACCTAGGATAAATGTGTTTTCTCTGGGCCTATATAATTTTTATGTGGCCACTTTCGTGCCATCTGATTGACATTGTCTGCATGAGAAAGTGTTATGACTTGCAAGTCTACACCAATATACCTGTTTACATTTCAAATCACTGATGCTGTTCTTAATTCCAGTAATCTTTTTCTGATCTTGTATACTTCTTGTATTTCAAGTTTCTATTTTGAGTCAATCTTTTAGTGTCAATCTTTTCACTCTTTTTTGTATTGTAGCCTTAGCCATACTACGTTGCATGCATGGTTACCTTTGATTAACATGTTATTTTAAAAAAAAAATTGACCAACAAATATTCAATGTAGTACATATCTTGACTGTTACTTTTTCTTTCTTGCAGACTGAGAGTTTTGTGCAGTTGTCAAAGGCCTGTTGGTAAGCTAAACCACCATTTTTTTTAGAAAATAAGATAAATTTTAGGGATAACATGAGACATAACTTAAGAACTCCATTTGTGTCACATAGTGGAAGCTACTAATCTCTTCATCTGAGGAAATGTTCTACTGTCATCATATATTGCTTTTCCAGTACTTAATGTACCGGTTAAGTCTCTAATTTTAATTGCTTGATTAATGCATAGGCTCTCTCTTCTTATCTTGTTTACGCTTTGCTTTGCAGTCAAAGGATCTGGATTCAGTGAAAGCTGCAAGATTCGGATATATTACAAGATTGTGTCGCTCAATAGTTTTCATGAGTTAATGCATCAATCTTGATTTGTAATTTATGGCTTTTTGGTTCCATTACATTACAGTTGTGAGGTTATGTTGGTGTGCATTGTAGCTACATTGTTGATGCTGAAAATTTCGGTCATATTGGTGTTACTTTATGGGACATGTCACATGTATGATTTTGTTTAGTTCAGGTGCATAAACTGGCATTCCTCTATATGGGGGCCATACATTCGGAGGTGGTCGATGAGCATGGGACGGGTATCCGATAACAAAAATTAATAAAAGCGATCCATAAACCGAACCGATAAGTTCAGGTTCTCCAATTTTCGGTTTGGTTATCGGGTACCTAATAAGATATCCAATAATAATAATTAAACTAAACAATGTAGTGATTATGATATCATTCAACACTAATTAACAACAATACCACATGATCTTGATTAAATATTAGTACTATCACTGATATATTAAAGTGATTATGAGGTAAAGTAAGGGTCTGTTCTCTTACGTTGAAATTCAGTTCAGTTCAGTTTAGTTCAGCTCCTAATTTCCTTCTCTTATAAAATATTCATTTCAATTCAGTTCAGTTCAACTCTTAATTTCCTTCTCTTATAAAATATTCAATTCAGTTCAGTTTAGTTCAGTTCAATTCAGTTCAGCTGAGTTCAGTCAATGAGAACAGGTCGTAAAAGTTTAGATTTTAAAAAAAAAAAATAGATTTAAGTAGGGAAATAAAATTTTAAAAAAATGCTTATCGGATTGGATTGGGTAATAATTACTTTTAAAGTGATACTGGATAACAAATTATCGGAACGGATATCGGATTGGGCTCCCTAATTTTTGGAACGGTTACAGAACAAGTTTTCGGTTTTTTGGGTAGTTTTGCTCAGCCTTAGTGGATACAGGAAAATAAATTTAGCAATCGAAATAAGTAACCCATTTATCCTAGTACAATAATGGATTAATGGTTGTCAATTTGAAAGCACATCGTACAATTTATTGGGTATTGAAAATAATAATTCATTCTCTCCTATGATTTTTGCATATTTTAGCTAATTTTAGGATTAAATTTGTTCTTGAGCTTAATGCTTTGCGTAAAGATGGACTGTTGTCACAAATCATCTCCCACACCAAGGATAGGTGTCATTTGGGTCACTAGGCAACAAGGCATAATCGAGGCTAGGGGGCTTGCCCTTGGTGCCCAGCAGCACGCTTCTCCCTCTTAAGCTTTATTTTGTTTCTGTCTTATATTTCTGATGAATACTCAATTGACAGTAACATAATAACGGGTCACTAAGGAGGCCAACGAAGTCCAAATGAGTTCTAATTTGAGGGGTCCATCGTATTTTGGTTTAAGGAAGACCATAGCTAGTGGTGTTGGTTTTCTAAGGTAGGTCTTGAAGTACGACTTTTGACAGCTGGTAATTCGAAAAACGAGGAAAGCTTCTAGAAGGTTTTGGGCCACTCTAAGAGGTTCTTTTGATAGAGTATTCTAGAGAAGATACTTTAAAATATTCATAAAGAGTCTTGTACATAATAGATGTCTTTGTAGGGGTTTATAGGTACTACACAACGGAAATAAACATGAATCATATTCAATCTAGTACCAATCCCAAGAATCACATGCATAACACACAAGACACATAATCATACCTTTGACGCGTGAATTCCATGAAGCTATTCGACAGGCAAATCAGGGAGAGAATAGAGCCCCAAGCGTTGCTCCTCTACTTAGTCCACGAGATTCGAACGAGCCGTCCACCAATACTAGATTGGTCGAGTGATTGAGGAGAACCGCGATCACCACCTTTACGGTCAACCGACCACCGCACGAACCACCACCACCACGACACACCACCGACGCCTAGGAGGAGGAGAGAGCCGTGAGAAAGAGGACTATGAGAGGGGTTGGGTTTCGTGTTTGCTAATTAGGGTTTGATCACACTAATCAGTTAATTGCTTACTTGTTACAAACCTAGGCACCTATTCTATTTATAATCTCATTATAATTAGACTAGGGCACGAAGCCCAAAACTCCCTTGTCCACTCCATATGGCCGACCACCTAGAGTGATGAGGCCCGTGATGGGCCTCGTCCTCTAATGCTCGATCTAGCCCCTTTGTGTGACCTTATAGGATCCGTCCAATTGGGCTTTGGGCTATTTTACTAGTCCAAAGATCGTTAGTACCTCTAGCTATGGCAAAACGACGACCCAAATGTACGAACTTAATTATCTCCATAATTTGATCCAATTATATATCTAGTAATTGCACACGACGAAGACATAACTCCTTCAATCTCCCACTTGTCAGAGACAAGGGTGCAATATTCAAATTCCTTAAGTCAATATATGTGTCGATTTGATAATATGATTGCATCACATGTCGAGATCATATTAATCTACAAATCGTTTCTTGAAATCTGAGTTAGAATTACAAAATCAAATAATTACTGTGTAATGCATTTGAACGCGGCCATGTATTTTCTGAATTCTCCCTCTTCAAGCGGCCATGACACATTTCCTAATTTAATAGGTAGACTATATCCAATCTTGTGGTAACATGACTCCCACTCAACTTCTGAAATACCCGGGAAACACCCTTTATAATCTCCAGTTACGGCTAGACATTTGAGTGTACCACAGTCACAACATCCATTGAATGAAATCAATGTTCCACTCATGTCAAAGGAATCCACTAATATATACGGAAGCTCTATACTTGAACTTCAAAGTAGGTCAATAGTTCGATCATGCATCATTCATGCATATCCAAGTGATTGACCGAGCATCACTATGCCCCTATAGCCCATGAAACTGCGCTATCCAATCAATCTTACATGCTAGTTCATTTATTGAAATCATTTATGTCCACTTTAATGATCTCGAACTAGGAACTTTAAATAATATATGAATTTTGTTCACCTGTGGGGTTTCAATTCACCAGGTCATCAACCTGATGAGCCCATCAATTCATAATTATTTTGGACATTTTATTTAATTTCCAAAATCATAATTAAATAAGAGAAATAATAATTTCTATTTTAAACATAATTCTGCAAATTAATGCATTTCTCATGTAATATGCTTTCTCAAAACATATACAACTTAAATTACATAACTTGCTTCAATCCTAAGACTTTAATATGACTCTCATATCTTAGTCCATGGAAGGGGTTTAGTGATTTCTCACTCATAATAAAACTTTGCAGAACACGACCTTCCGCTTGTCAATGATCTCATAATTGAGGTGATATCTCATATCTATAAGTTTGGATTTGTGATGTGACTCTGGCTCCTTTGTTTTGGGCAAAGGTGACCTGTTAGTCACATGACATTTTAATCCGAACTTCCTCTGTAACTATCTGACTATAGTTTAATACACATATTCTGACATCGAGTATGCAACAGTGCTCTGCTTTGAACTCTCCAAGGTCACTGTCCTTTTCCATCCAGACACAAACATGCATTTAGATCACCATCTAGAATCATCTTGCCTGTTTGGAAACTTGCATTCGTGTGACCTTTTGACAACTTGCTTACATTACATTTAACACAATAGCTAGAAATATTCCTTTTAGTGCTTCTCAAGTACTCAAGGACTTTTCTTGGTAATTCTCCGTATGCTTATTCTGAGTTTGCTTGAATTCTGCTACACATGCACAAGTCATATGCAACATCTTGCAATGTACATTTCATGGCACATTTAATGGATCCTTTTGCAGAAGCATAAGGTACATTATCAATACAACTCAACTCTATTAGCTTTTTAAGGCGTTGAGTCTTACTGAGTGTATTACCATGAAACATGGGAAGATATCCTATCTTAGAGTCTTGCTTCATGAACTTGTCAAGATCCTTATCAACATAAGTATCTCGATTCATTACAATCATTCTTCAAGATTCACATCAAGGATCTTAATTCCCAATATGTACTCAACATCTTCTAAGTCTATCATATTGAAACAATCTTTCTAATCATTGCTTGACTCATTCAAGCATTGATATATCATTTCATATGAACTGTATGTCAACTACATACTAGACTAAAAAGACCAATTTCTCCCACCAAATTTCTTGTCTCTACAAGAATTCTTTCGTTCTACTAAGGAAATCAAACTGTTTGATTGCCTAATCAAAACGAATGTTCCAACTCCCTTATGCTTACTTCAATCCATAAAATGAATTTCTGAAGTTTGCAAAACTTTCTAGGAATTTATGGATTTCAAAACTCTTAGGATGTATCATATACATTCTCACCGTCAAGAACATTTCATGAAAGTGATTTTGATATCCATAATTAGAATAATCCGAATAGGCTTACCCAACTAATAGGTTTGACCCTATTTGTAAGACTATTATGGACTAACACATTTTTACTGGATTTCATGGCTTTAAGCCATTTCCTGAGTTGGCATCTATCCAAAGCTTGCTTGTAGGCATGGGTTCCAACCATTCCAATAGGAAAATTTTAGAATCCACCTTTTCTCAGAATTTCAACAAACTGTTTGTTTTGATCCCAAGTAACCTACGATAGGTATGAGCGACAATAGAATTATTCTCTTCAACTCTTTGAAGCCTTTCATTCTAGTGGGACGATAGAAGCCTCGCTAGTGGAATTAGCTTGCTTCGACACATGGTTTATCAAATTTGCTGATTTCATATGCCTTCGTCTCTGATGTAGTGTTATCCACATCCATTTGTTGCTTGTCTCGAATCTCATCAACTTTACTCCCACTTGGCTTTGTAGGAAGATATTCTTTCTATAAGACACTATCGCGAGCAACAAACACTTTGTTTCTACGCGATTGTAGGAATAATACCTCTTAGTTTCCATGAGAAAACCCATGAAGAACTGCTTTTTCTGATTTAGGGTGTATTATGTCATCTTTGTAAACATTTTACATTGATTTCATAACCCTTAATCCTGTTTAGAAAAGATAACTTTTGGAACATTTCCAAATCATAATTCTTATGACATCTTTTCTTCTGCTTTGGTTAAGTTTCCTGTTTAGTATATTCGCAATTGTTGTTGTTCTAATGCATATCCTCAAAACGATATTTGTAAATCATTAAATTTTGGATCGAACAATGGCAAGCAAAGTTTGATTCCTTCTTCATAAACATACAATTTAATTGTAATGTTTCTAGATTGTGAATTAATTCAACAATTCCCTTTAGATGATC